TAAGATATCAATGACGATGATGATCAATTGGGAGGCCGTAGACATTCCTCTGAATATGTCGAGGGTGATGGTAGAGACGAATGGGAGATCAGATCGTCCATTGGCTTGGACTCAACGCTTGATAACGAGGTTCAAGTTCGAATTTTGTTTCTCATTTTTGTTAATTTAGGTTGGTGAAACTATTTGTTCTTGTTTTGATTTTACCTAATTGGATGTGAAGGCTTTGCTTGATTATGGTTATATGATAGTATTATGATGTGATCAAAGGTCACAAACATGACCTGGTTCTACCTTTGGATCTTGTATTGTATTTGTGATGTGATGGGAAGAAAAAATACACATAGACTACATTTTTAATTTTATGCTTGAATTAACCCAAAAAGTAGATTTCTTTTGACTAATATCTCCTATTAATTTTCATCTCCTATTAGTACTCATTGGTTTTAGAATATTTCTTGCTGATAATACCATTAAACTTGGTTTTAGACATTGCCATATTTCTTGTTGGTACCATATTTGGTTTTATCTTGGAAAAAATTGGGATGGTTTTTTTTTGAAATTCATCTACTCTCATTGGTGGAGTTCTAGTGTCTGTATATGCTTGTAGGGTTGCTTGTAATTTGTTTCTTTATATATATTTGGATGAGTGTGGGGATTTGGAGGTTTCAACTAGCTTCAAACTTTCCTTGGGAAATCAATGGACTGGCTGTAATTTTCTTTCATGTCGTTTTCATATGAGGGAAGTTTGTTTTTTCCTTCCAAAAGATTGGGGTGTCGTTAGTATCAGAATCTTATCTATTCAATAGTTTTGGTTGTCCTTTGAGCTACAGATGGTGTAGAAAGTAATATAACACTTTGTTTTATGCTAATAAAGTGGACAATATTTTTGCAGATGACTACAGTAATTGCCATTGAGGATGTAAGACGAGAAGTGAAAATATTACAGGCTCTAACAGGGCATAGGAACCTAGTGCAATGCTACGATTGCTATGAGAATGATAATATTTTTGTAGTGATGGAGTAAGTGTAGACTTACTAAATTTTACTAATCCTAATAAATTTTGTTCAATTTTATGTTATTTGCTTAGCAATTTGTGAAAAATTTCCAGCAGGTAAAATACGTCAAATTTACATGATTGGCATAAAAAATTTGGAAAAAAAATAAAAATAAATAAATCTTAACCTTCTCTTTGTAAATGTGGCAACTGTCCATTTAAACTTGATTTTGCTGTTTGGTTTTGTCAGAACTAGAACCAATAAAATCTTGACATCGTCTTTGTTGATTTACATGTAACTCATGGTAAAACTAGTGTGGCATGGCCTACTTTTCTATCGTGTCACCTTAAATATGTTTTCTAGGGAAACTAAGATGAGCCAACCGAGCTGTATTCAACTGGGTCAATGCATCGTAGGCTGTTAATGTTCACCTGACCTTTTTGTTCTTCTTCTTCTCCTCTCTCTCTCTCTCGAGATATATATATGGGTGGTGATGGCCGGGGAGGGCTTAGTGGCATGTGCATTTTTCTCTTTGTTTATTTGTTATGTCTCAACTCCCAACTAAAGAAATATTTCCATTTTAAAACTGTCTTAAATATGGTGAAGAATCAGTGAAGTTTTGAAGCTTACTCCGTATCATGTTTTATGTTCTTCAGGTTATGTAAAGGAGGTGAATTATTGCATAGAATACTTTCTAGGTACCATATTTTCTTGTCTTTTTTCCTTTTATTGCAGTATTTGGCCTGTTTTGCAACCTTCTGGCAGCTAATTACTGATTTGTGTTCTCTAGGGGTGGAAAATACTCAGAAGAGGATGCAAAGGCTGTCATCAGAAGGTGCAACTTGACTCAATGTAGGAGTTACAGGTAAGGAAAAAGCTTGACCAATTGGAGTTGGGTCAACTGAGAGACAACTCTTACGACTAATCACTAAATCAAAGGCTAATGGCCCATGAACTAATTCTTCATTATCTAAGAACTCATCAAGAAGTCTCATATCCTTATTGCCAGACGCCAAATCAAAGTCATCATTTGGCAACCATTAAAACAAATTAAAGAGGAGTCAAAAAAAAAAAAATTGAAATGACAAATGATAGATTTTGTCATTGCCGGTACAACATTAGTAGCCAATGGTTGAGAAGTGCTAGGAACTTCGATAAAAAATGATTCCACGTTATTAAAAGTAGTGATGTTTCTTCCAACGGTGACAGTACTAGATTTTCTCCCTAAGTAATGCTAGTTACGATCACCGTTACTATGATCTTTGTTTGTTACTCCACCAAGAGTCCCACCAATATTTCCTCGAACCATTTTGTTGGTCTTAAGATTAGAACTTTGCTTAGCAATTGCATTTTTTTCTCTTCACTTTAACCATCTCTTGATTTGGTGAAGCCGAGCATTTGCTCCTTGGGATATAATTTTCTATGTTGGAGAAATAGTCTACATAAAGCTGAGACCACCACTCCAAATAAGCCTTGGTAGTGGAACGAGATGGGAAATCAAAATGCGCTGGTAACCTCAACACAGAATGAGTACCATCACAGACACAAGAATCCCAATATTGAATAATGTTCTGTTCTATAAACTACCATCCCGAAGATCAACCTTAAGTTTACCCGGGATGGCTTGAATAAAACCAAATTGCCTGCTAAACCTGTGAGGACTGTATGGCTCAATGACCATAGTGGACGAACTTCGCAAAATCAAATAGCTCAAGTGGATGCTGATGAAATACTCTAAATTTGAGTAAGAAAGATGACCATCATCAACCAATTCCTTGGGATTACCCTCATTATATGCCAAACGGTGCAAGGTCATGGCTTTACATTATCGAAATAAGTCATAGGCCTCTAACTCCTCAAAATGTTTGGCCATCCTTTCACTAGCATATCTCGTCATTTGAGGCTTCAGAGCATATTCAATACTAAAGTGTGTGTTGAAATACTCTGCTAACCAAGCATAAACATAATGGATAGGGAAGATGGTGTCGCACTTTCCAAGATCAGAAGAAGAAGCAATTCTATTTAGCCTTTCATAGATGCTAGCAAGTACAGGAATGGCAGGGCTGAATGAACGACCACGAGCCATCATACTAGTAACTTAAACACCCCAGGTCTAATCAAGTCACCATCCCCAGGGGGTAGAACAAATTTGCATAGCTAACAAACAAGGAAAGCTGATAGAAAAGTTTCACCCTTTGCCGCTGTAGACCGCCCGAACTTCCTCTGCGTGCCCCTTTTCGGAGAGGGCGCGAATTGGGTTCATACTACTACAGTTCAGACTCTTGTCACAGTTTTGAATCTAATCTCACAAAGTGCAATGTAAGACTGATAAATCACCAAAGAGTCCAAATCCAGCAAACCTTTTGGAAAATCGATTTTCAATCAAATAATGCCAAAAATGGACTGCTTTGCCAGATTACAGAATGCATGACTTGGTTTGGCTGCCTCATTTTTAAATTTAATATGTAAATGTATTGAACGTCACACCAATGAATCAGTAATAGCTTAATGAGATCGAATATGTTTCCCATCAACCAAGGAGTTCTAGTGTTTGGCTAGCTCTTTGGCCACCAAGTCTCTCTTAAAGGGAGGTCTTGGGTTCTAATAGGGCGCAACAATTAAGTACTTGCAAGGAGAGGGTGAGAGTTCGACTCCCCAAGATACTAATGTAACAACTAACTACTAACTTTCGTTAATCAAAATATATATATATATATATATATGTTTCCCATCATGAGTTAAACTAAGGAACAAAATGTGGTCATTAGTTAACGCAACACAGAAATGTGGCACCAGATGAAGTGCCATAACATGACATTCTCAATCCTACCAACTTAACTGTGTGTATATGTCAAGCAATGTAAACTCTAAAGTCTTGTTTTCATTTGCTACAGTTCATTGGAACTTCGAAGTGTTTTTAAGAGTTTCAAAACTTCATGTCCCACGTTGATTGGAAAAATAAGTCACATCGAACACATCGAACATATATGTTTTTGTTCTTCTTGGCATACTTGATTAGTCATGAGTCGTGCCAAATAGTGGTATTTACTTGATTAGTAGTGACTACCTATGTTTCATGTCTGTTTTCACTGTTTTAGATCTACTCTTCTTTGCCGTGGTCGGCCGTAAGTTCTATTTCCAAATTCCAGTTCCACTATTCTAAGGCCTTGTTTGGGAACAAGCTAAATTAGTCAAAAAGTCAACTCATTCTCTCTACTTTTCTGCACATCTTTTCATACCAAGTCAAAAAAATACTAAAAAAGCCAATTCCCAAATGAACCCTAATTTTATTCCATTCTATTTCAATCAGCTCAGCTCTTTTTATAGGGCTTTATATCACAACAGTTTTGACATACAAATATGTTACAAATTTTTATATTAATTCAGATTTTATTCTCATCTGTTTAAAAGTTTTTCCTATATATAGAGTATTTCTGCTACAGAAGTACAAAGTAGTACACTGATATTCCAATACACTCATATTTTGAAAGAGATCACAGATTCATCTCAAGAGAATTTGCCCACTAGTCTGTGTTTTCTAGACAACTCGATTCGGACGGTTGTTTTTCCTCCTGGTGGACGCGAACACCAAATGAGTGGCTGTTAGCTTCTGGGAACAGTGACTTTAGGACAGTAATTCCGTGCCTCAGAGATTCACAAGCCACATCTTTCTGTTCAAATTTCTATTATATTTTCTGCTTTGATTCACTGAATCTGTATTATTGCATGATATATATGATTGTTTAGTTCTATTACTAAGTCTATAAACTGTTGTGTACTGTTTATAAGTTCTGTTTATTTTGTGATGTATGTTTAGTTTGTAATGTAAAATTATTGCTTTTAACTACAATGTAATCTCACAGGGAGGATGATAAAAGTATAGAACTTTTAAAACACTCGAAAATATTCATTTATAACTTCATGCAGACTAAAATTGGAAGTACTGATGCTGTAATTTAAAGATAATATACTGAAGTTTGTAAAAGAAAATATGGTAAATTATATATTTTATCTTATGATATAACTTGATATACAAACAACCAAAACTGTCTCACTCCCAGGGCAGCTTGTAAAGGAGTCATCGTATCATATGGAACCTGCATCACAAAAAATAATCATCATCTCACAAGATTTTTTATCTTCACAATTGAGAAGTTAAATACTCAAAAGTGGTATTTGAGGCTTGGTGCTAATTGAGGAAATACCTTAGCGGTGACAAGCTCCCACAGAACAATAGCAAAACTGAATATGTCTGCTTTCTGATCGTATGGTTGATGATTAATAACCTTTTGATGGAGAAACAAAGTAAGAAATGATATCAAAGTAAGAAGTGAATAACTAGGAAATCAACATCAAATAATGGTTAACGTCACGCAATTCTATGACACAGGTCCAGAACCTAGTGTCAAACAAAGTGCACTTCATTAGTTTTCTCAAAAAATTCAACCCAGTATTGCATGCATCAACATTGTTAGATACAGAAGATTTAAAATGATACTACAGATTGAGGTAAGTTAACTGATGTGCATAATTCATGGAAATAAAAGAATTGCAATGTCAATACACTATGAAGCACAGACATGGACACGGTGATTTCAAAAAAATAGGAACAGGGACACGGCAAATTATTATTTTTTATATATATTTGCTATGTAGATTAATATTATGTTACCAAACAATCAAAATTAATAAAACTAACATTAATTCAATATATATATATATATATATATATAAACCACTACATTTAAACAAATTAATAGATCATCCATATTTGGAGACACGTGTCCCCTGCAAAAAAAAAAAAAAAAAAAAAATCAATTAATTAAATGGCATGTCCCTGCCGTGTCCCCGTCTCCCTTGACGTATCTAGATTTAGACAAGTGTCCTCGGCGTATCTCCTACATGTCCCCGTGTCAGACACTGCTATGGCCCCTATTTTAAAGTGTTTGTGCTTCATAGACAATCACACTAAAAAGTGAGCCAAGATTCAAAAACAATCAGGAAAGTATGGTTGAACATGCCCTAAAAACCGTCACATATAAAAATTTAATTGGACCATGCAGCTCCATCAATGCACGAACAGTTTACACTAATCAACGATTAAACCATCAATCCAAGTCTCAAAATAGAATGATTTTTATGAAATTGCCTGGACCATTTGACCCGCTCCCAATTTTACTACATACTGTCTGGTCCAGTCCAGGTTCTAAAACACTGCCATCACCCATTCTCATAATTATTCCCCATTTAGCGTTGTTGCGAATTATCAATGTCGACCAATCATTGCAGAATACAAGGATCTATTGCAAGCAACTGGGTAAGGGGGCTAACTTAGTCAACAGATAACTCAGGAAAGCTTTTACAATGAGAATTAACATTAGGATTCCGAGCTAAAGGTAGAAAAAGAAATTTTAAAGATAACACCCACACACAATCCCTCATCTTCAACCATATCAAGCTAATGAAGCAGAAGACATAGGCAAACAAAAGAGAGTTCAACCTCAGGGGCCATCCATCGGTATGTACCAGTCTCTGCTGTCATCACACCCCCTTGATTTTGGAACCGAGCAACGCCAAAATCTGCTACCTTAACAACCTTGAGACACAATTACAGAAATCATAGGTTAAGAAACGTCACAAATCATTAATGTTGTTAGTGCCTATAAACCATTCGCGTCACATATGTCAAGTTATTATTCATAAACTACAAATAGCATTAGTAAAAGTGCAAGGAAGCATGATGGTCTATCAATCTTAGGCTATGTTTATGCGTGGATAGCAGGAATCTCATTTCATGTCTCCTTTATTCCATTTGACTGCATGTATGACGTGAAATGTGATTCTAAGTTACCTTATTAAGGTGAAATGGGGTTACAACACTAAGCGGAACCTCATTCTTGCACAACCCCATGAGAATCTCACATATTTGAAGCACTCAAGTGTAAAAAAGAAACATGGGCACACATTATTTAAAATTTTACCATTTCCCATTAGAAAATTCTTAACCAATCCAAACACTAGAATTTCATTAACCTCAGAATCTTATTATTATCAATATTCCTGGTAATAGGATCGCATTCTGTCTTTAATTCCTACCACCCAAACATAGCCTTAATTTACTTGGGAGATATGAGGATATAAAGATCATCAACAATAGAAAAACTAAGCCCAATTAAACTCAAGATAATACCAAGAAATCCTTTAATTTTTAACCCAAAAAATCCAATGTTATCATGATATACCCTTCAGTCATATTTTTAGAACATCTTTAGCATAACCCTTCGAACCCCCTACATTAACCTAGCCAAAATAATAATAATAAGAGAGACAGAGAGAGGGAATCATAGAACAATAAAATAAGTAAAAAAGGTAAAAGAATAGTGATACATGCGAACATGAGATTGCCATTTGGAATTGAAGATACAATAAACCAAAACTGTGACCATGCATGCAGACTTTCTGTAAGATGTGACTTATGCTACAGTCCCTCAGTCTTACTTTTACACGGTGCAATTAGATTTCCATAAACTTCTACTTATTAACTCTAGGGAAGCCAACAGCCACAAATGAATCCTTCTAATACCTGTTAGACATAATAACTCTTTATGTAATGAACAGTAATAGTTTTCACGAACCCATTGTTCTGATTTAAAGGTAAATCATCTTTCAACATACAGCAAAACAAAACAATTAAACATCTGAAAATTTATATACTTGGTATTTAGGAGATAACAACAGAAATTTAATCATGATGTTGGAAAATACTTACTTTGTCATTATCCATAAGCAAATTTGCTGTCTTAAGATCCCTGTGAATTATGTTGTTTTGATGCAAGTACTCCATTCCACTGCAGACATCAATTGCAAACTGAAGCAATTGAGGGAGATTCAAGACAATGTGATTCTTGTGTATATATTCATAAAGGCTTCCTCCAGGCATGTACTCTGCAAGCAAGACCAGAAGACAAATTCCCTTTCAGTGGGAGAGAAGAATCATTGCACAAAAATAGATAAACAAACATTTCAGGAAAATATGTACGTAAACTATTTCCAGCAGTTAAAAACTGTGAGAAGCTGTCGACTTCAATGAAACTTGTAATGATACATAAGACAACATCAACAAAGAAGATTTAGTCATGAAATGAAAGCTATTTATCTATTGCAATACTAGCATGCATGTAAACTCAGAAACACAAATCATAAGATAATCCTCATGATAGATGGTTGCTTCATTTTTCAAGTCAATTTATCATCAGTGCCTCAGCTGATTAGCTATCCCAACTGAGTCTTTGCCTATAGATTGAACTGTAATTCAAGGGCTATTGTTAAACATCCATAGTGGATCTCCAACTGCACTTGCAGTCTCCGTTAGCACCAACTTCTCAAAACCCACTGCTGTCACTAAAGCAAAGGCTCAGCTCTCCACCACCCAAGGCTGCCTCTGCTACTTTACCTAATTCAACAAGCTTAATCCTATTATGAGGGTCAAGGTCAGCTACAAGCATCAGTTGTTTCTAGTCAGCTCCATGTAAAATCATATTTATGGTTATGAATAAAAGACAATCATGTCGTTTCTCATGGCCGCAACCCAAGTCCTTTTTGACATCCCTCTAGTCCTTTTGAGACCTTCAACTTGAATTGGCTCATTCCTTCATACCAGTGCACCAACTGATATCCAATTATGAAGGACGAAAGCAAAAAAGGTGACCTTGTAGAAGGTTGTGTACCTGTTACTATGCATAAATGAGGAGCTTTTGTACATGCACCAACAAATCGGACAACGTTTCTATGTTGGACTTCCCTGCACACAAAAAACAGCAAGGATATTGATCCCCGTATTAGAACTATAAGAATATCGTAGTACAGTAGCCAAAAAGTTAACAGAATCGTTGAGTTGTTGGATTAACCAGAAAAAATTAGAAACCCATGCATGGTATGAATGTATTTTGGCTTTCAGACGCTCACTGCTTACGCAAGCGATACACAAACATGCATTTATGGCAAGACAATGCAGATTCCAACCCAAGAAGATACTTTGCAATGTCACCTTGTTAAAGGAGCCAATTGCATTGCTTTGTGATACCACCTAACCAAAATTCGGAGATACCTCTTCATATAATGAGAATGAAATTAAAGTCGACAGCTTCTCACAGTTTTTAACTGCTGGAAATAGTTTACGTACATATTTTCCTGAAATGTTTGTTTATCTATTTTTGTGCAATGATTCTTCTCTCCCACTGAAAGGGAATTTGTCTTCTGGTCTTGCTTGCAGAGTACATGCCTGGAGGAAGCCTTTATGAATATATACACAAGAATCACATTGTCTTGAATCTCCCTCAATTGCTTCAGTTTGCAATTGATGTCTGCAGTGGAATGGAGTACTTGCATCAAAACAACATAATTCACAGGGATCTTAAGACAGCAAATTTGCTTATGGATAATGACAAAGTAAGTATTTTCCAACATCATGATTAATTTTCCGTTGTTATCTCCTAAATACCAAGTATATAAATTTTCAGATGTTTAATTGTTCCAGCTGTTTTGCTGTATGTTGAAAGATGATTTACCTTTAAATCAGAACAATGGGTTCGTGAAAACTATTACTGTTCATTACATAAACAGTTATTATGTCTAACAGGTATAACAGGATTCATTTGTGGCTGTTGGCTTTCCTAGAGTTAATAAGTAGAAGTTTATGGAAATCTAATTTCACCATGAAAAAGTAAGACTGAGGGACTGTAGCATAAGTCACATTTTACAGAAAGTCTGCGTGCATGGTCACAGTTTGGTTTATTGTATCTTCAATTCCAAATGGCAATCTCATGTTCGCATGTATCACTATTCTTTTACCTTTTTTACTTATTTTATTGTTCTATGATTCCCTCTCTCTGTCTCTCTTATTATTATTATTTTGGCTAGGTTAATGTAGGGGGTTTGAAGGGTTATGCTAAAGATGTCCTAAAAATATGACTGAAGGGTATATCATGATAACATTGGATTTTTTGGGTTAAAAATTAAAGGATTTCTTGGTATTATCTTGAGTTTAATTGGGCTTAGTTTTTCTATTGTTGATGATCTTTATATCCTCATATCTCCCAAGTAAATTAAGGCTATGTTTGGGTGGTAGGAATTAAAGACAGAATGCGATCCTATTACCAGGAATATTGATAATAATAAGATTCTGAGGTTAATGAAATTCTAGTGTTTGGATTGGTTAAGAATTTTCTAATGGGAAATGGTAAAATTTTAAATAATGTGTGCCCATGTTTCTTTTTTACACTTGAGTGCTTCAAATATGTGAGATTCTCATTGGGGTTATGCAAGAATGAGGTTCCGCTTAGTGTTGTAACCCCATTTCACCTTAATAAGGTAACTTAGAATCACATTTCACGTCATACATGCAGTCAAATGGAATAAAGGAGACATGAAATGAGATTCCTGTTATTCACGCAAAAACATAGCCCAAGATTGATAGACCATCATGCTTCCTTGCAATTCTGCTAATGCTATTTGTAGTTTATGAATAATTTGACATATGTGACGCGAATGGTTTATAGGCACTAACAACATTCAATCAAAATTAATAAAAACTAACATTAATTCAATATATATATATAAACCACTACATTTAAACAAATTAATAGATCATCCATATTTGGAGATGCGTGTTCCCTGCAAAAAAAAAAAAATCAATTAATTAAATGGCATGTCCCTGCCGTGTCCCCGTCTCCCTTGACGTATCTAGATTTAGACAAGTGTCCTCGGCGTATCTCCTACATGTCCCCGTGTCAGACACTGCTATGGCCCCTATTTTAAAGTGTTTGTGCTTCATAGACAATCACACTAAAAAGTGAGCCAAGATTCAAAAACAATCAGGAAAGTATGGTTGAACATGCCCTAAAAACCGTAACATAAAAAAATTTAATTGGACCATGCAGCTCCATCAATGCACGAACAGTTTAAAGCTTTCCTGAGTTATCTATTGACTAAGTTAGCCCCCTTACCCAGTTGCTTGCAATAGATCCTTGTATTCTCCAATCATTGGTCGACATTGATAATTTGCAACAACGCTAAATGGGGAATAATTATGAGAATGGGTGATGGCAGTGTTTTAGAACCTGGACTGGACCAGGCAGTATGTAGTAAAATTGGGTGCGGGTCAAATGGTCCAGGCAATTTCATAAAAATCATTCTATTTTGAGACTTGGATTGATGGTTTAATCGTTGATTAGTGTAAACTGTTCGTGCATTGATGGAGCTGCATGGTCCAATTAAATTTTTTTATGTTACGGTTTTTAGGGCATGTTCAACCATACTTTCCTGATTGTTTTTGAATCTTGGCTCACTTTTTAGTGTGATTGTCTATGAAGCACAAACACTTTAAAGAAAGCTTTTACAATGAGAATTAACATTAGGATTCCGAGCTCCAGGTAGAAAAAGAAATTTTAAAGAAAACACCCACACACAATCCCTCATCTTCAACCATATCAAGCTAATGAAGCAGAAGACATAGGCAAACGAAAGAGAGTTCAACCTCAGGGGCCATCCATCGGTATGTACCAGTCTCTGCTGTCATCACACCCCCTTGATTTTGGAACCGAGCAATGCCAAAATCTGCTACCTTAACAACCTTGAGACACAATTACAGAAATCATAGATTAAGAAACGTCACAAATCATTAATGTTGTTAGTGCCTATAAACCATTCGCGTCACATATGTCAAATTATTCATAAACTACAAATAGCATTAGCAGAAGTGCAAGGAAGCATGATGGTCTATCAATCTTGGGCTATGTTTTTGCGTGAATAACAGGAATCTCATTTCATGTCTCCTTTATTCCATTTGACTGCATGTATGACGTGAAATGTGATTCTAAGTTACCTTATTAAGGTGAAATGGGGTTACAACACTAAGCAGAACCTCATTCTTGCACAACCCCAATGAGAATCTCACATATTTGAAGCACTCAAGTATAAAAAAGAAACATGGGCACACATTATTTAAAATTTTACCATTTCCCATAAGAAAATTCTTAACCAATCCAAACACTAGAATTTCATTAACCTCAGAATCTTATTATTATCAATATTCCTGGTAATAGGATCGCATTCTGTCTTTAATTCCTACCACCCAAACATAGCCTTAATTTACTTGGGAGATATGAGGATATAAAGATCATCAACAATAGAAAAACTAAGCCCAATTAAACTCAAGATAATACCAAGAAATCCTTTAATTTTTAACCCAAAAAATCCAATGTTATCATGATATACCCTTCAGTCATATTTTTAGAACATCTTTAGCATAACCCTTCGAACCCCCTACATTAACCTAGCCAAAATAATAATAATAAGAGAGACAGAGAGAGGGAATCATAGAACAATAAAATAAGTAAAAAAGGTAAAAGAATAGTGATACATGCGAACATGAGATTGCCATTTGGAATTGAAGATACAATAAACCAAACTGTGACCATGCACGCAGACTTTCTGTAAAATGTGACTTATGCTACAGTCCCTTAGTCTTACTTTTTCATGGTGAAATTAGATTTCCATAAACTTCTACTTATTAACTCTAGGAAAGCCAACAGCCACAAATGAATCCTGTTATACCTGTTAGACATAATAACTGTTTATGTAATGAACAGTAATAGTTTTCACGAACCCAATGTTCTGATTTAAAGGTAAATCATCTTTCAACATACAGCAAAACAGCTGGAACAATTAAACATCTGAAAATTTATATACTTGGTATTTAGGAGATAACAACGGAAAATTAATCATGATGTTGGAAAATACTTACTTTGTCATTATCCATAAGCAAATTTGTTGTCTTAAGATCCCTGTGAATTATGTTGTTTTGATGCAAGTACTCCATTCCACTGCAGACATCAATTGCAAACTGAAGCAATTGAGGGAGATTCAAGACAATGTGATTCTTGTGTATATATTCAGAAAGGCTTCCTCCAGGCATGTACTCTGCAAGCAAGACGAGAAGACAAATTCCCTTTCAGTGGGAGAGAAGAATTATTGCACAAAAATAGATAAACAAACATTTCAGGAAAATATGTACGTAAACTATTTCCAGCAGTTAAAAACTGTGAGAAGCTGTCGACTTCAATGAAACTTGTAATGATACATAAGACAAAACAGTATCAACACATCAAATTAGAATGCAGCAGCTGAGAGGGGCAAGTGAATTAACATTACAAATAGTAAGCAACTTATAAGATTCCTGTGCATTGCATTAAGTTGGTAAACTATATAGTGCAATGCAGCACATCCAGCCAATGTCTCCATCCACTCAATTAAGCACAGGATGAAGAGACAAGTTTGGCTCAAAAGAAAACAAAATGATCAGGTTCCAAAATCAGTTATTGGAAAATATTTGGATTTTAGATATTTTGATTAGAATTATGAGAAGTAAAATGAATCAATAAATATTGAAATGAAAACCCTGGGAGGGCATCTAGTCTGGCTTTGGAGGCAGATTGAAGGTAGAGATTAACATAGTCAAGAAAAGACTTTATTGGAATACATTGCCCATTAAGCTCAACCTTCACAGTCTTTCCAAGGCATCCCGCCAAGTCAATCACCCGCTTTTTCATCAGGGCAACAACATCATCTTCAAGATGAGTCATATTGAATTTTGCTAAGTCAGGCTTAAATGTAACTTTTGTCCAGTTTTCGCTCTCCTTGCATTTTGTTATGACGGGCTCAGATTTCTTTCCCATATTGTTGGAGAAAACCTTCATAGGAGTGGAAGGAACTTGCCAGTTAGCAAAGCACATGAATCATAATAAGGCTTTGTAAGGAAAACTATGTGTACAAACAACAGAATATGCTACCAACTTTTTTTTATAAAAAAGATTCAAATTAGAATTTACATATTAGCAGGCAAGCGAAACATGCATGGTATGACTTAAATTTGGAAGAAACCCCAATTGTCTTAGAAGGCTTTTACAGCCTTTACAAAGTTGGAAACCAGATAGCAAGTAATAAGTTCAATATTTGATGATGTTCTGCCTTTGCTATGCTTTGTCACTGGACCAAACAAAGCAATTGACGCATCTCTCAAAGGAACCCAACAAAATTCAACACAAATGAAGGTTATGTAATTACTCCTACTACGATGGTTATGATGTAAACAAAAAACCTCAGTTTCAGACACATTAGAACAACATACCAATAACAGAACCCTAACAGAAACCTAAATTCCACATGAAAAACTTCAAAATCAAAAATCCAAGTGCTCTGTAGTCAAAGCCCCTAGTTTATTTCTATTGAATTGGATCGGATAGGATAATCAATAACCAGAATTTTTAAAAAATAAAATAAAATAAAATAGAATTCAATATCTTCATTGACCCTAAAGTAAAGATATGCCTGCATTGTATAGATAAACATCCAAACATCAATAATTGCAAAGCAACCCTCAAAGTATCAGGAAAACCCCAAGATCCAACAAAGAAAAATCTGAAGTAACCCTAATCAATAATCATCAGTCGCAGACAAAGATTTAAGAATTATAATTCGAAAATAAAACCCTAAATCCTGAAGTTACCAAAACCCTAGATCTGTAAATAACCTTTCTCAAATTCAACAAGCAATCAAGGGCCACATTAAAAAATCTAAAACAGCATATATATCCATTACACAAAAACACTCAAAAGCCATTAAGAGATTATCATGGTAAGGAAATATAACATAAGGGATTGGAGAATGATGAGAATGTGTTTATAAGAAAGGGAATAGAGAGGAACTGCAGTGCAGAGACCAAAAAGTCATCCAGTACACGAGCATATTTTTGCAACAAATCCTATAAGTGAGGATGTCAACATCACAAGATGAGATGCTAAGGGTTGATAGGAATATGACTCATGTCCCAAGATCCACAACCTTAAAAGGGGAAGGGTGTTGAGGGACTGGTGGGGGAAAAAGTTGTTCAGAGCAACTGAAATGCAAAGAGTTTTATGTTCAATGGTCATCCCTAGCAAAAACAAGATCATCATACAACAAAAGGCTATGCCTGATGCATGCTCACATCAGATTAGATGATAGGAGGTGTGAAGAAAAGTAATTACCATTAATTCCTTGCATGGCACCATTGACAACCTGCTGAGCAGCAACATCATAAACATGACGAGTAGTTGCTGCTGGACCAAACACTCTATCTGCAGCCAAAGATATATGATATTGTTCATAGGAAATCAAGGAGAACACCAACACTAATTACTGTCATGAAGAAAAAGTTAATAAATAAAATATACCCAAAGCATTCTAGACTTTAAAAACTTATTTCCACACAAGTACATCTTTTGAAAAGCAGAAGGTTTTCAATTCAGTGAGCAAATTGTTCTTCTCAACCCTACAAGGACATAAAATAGGAAAAATTATAGTAACAAAGGACTTGTAGCATGTGTGAGCCTCATTACCGAAGCTCGAAGAGCTTAACAGATAATGATGCATCGAGACAAGCAAGCATTACATGAGTCAGGAAAATTTGAGGCATGGAATTGCAAGTTGGGTATACAAATGACAAAAGATGGTGACAATTACATAATTTTCTAGTTGAATAACGAAAAATAAAGATACTTCATTGCTGATATGGATTTACACAACAAACAACACCCAATAACTTATTCCTCAACCAACAGTTTGACACCATGCCAATGTCAAGAACTGCAGAAAACCATAGACTCTGCTTCCCTAAAGGCATGTAGAACATACATTACAAAAACTAAAACATGTATGGATCAGTTGCAAATTAACTTCTTAATTTAGAGCCAATTCCCTTGCAAGCAGGTGTCTTTTAACATGTTACAGCCTATTTCCTTCAAGAACATACTTATTTTTCCAAACTATTATGCTTAGCAAATGTTCCACGTTATAGTTTATTATGAAGAGGACAGAACTCTAGCAACAATAGTATTTGATTGATATGGAAGTCTGGTTAAAGAGGAGAAAACATTGCACCAAAAGGATGTATAAAAGGGGCGAAATGGATATTCATGTCATGTCAAAGAAGTCACAATAGAATAATGTTTGCAGTAACAGAAAAGAGTTGCAGACATCTCCTCACTTGTTTCTCTCATTCAAAACCGTGCATGAGACTTTCATCTCACACTACTCCTAAGTGATAAAACAAAGAACTCGTCTTCTTTCTTTTTTGATTACCTTCCTCACGAATGTATAATAAGACCAAAGTCATTCAATTTCTAAAAAAGATTACCAATCCTTAAATACTGGTGTGTAAATACTGGTGTGTGTGTCACATAAAAAAGAAACAAACCTGGATAACACAGAGAATATCAGGGAGGTGATTTTTGGACTCATCAACAGGACCTGCATAGAGTTCAATAAATACATCAGGCATTAAGGGAGGGAGATAGACAAGCATTAATGGATAGCAAACATAACAAGTAATATACCAAGTAACACAAATAAGTGATGCACTGGAGCATCCGCCATTAATTGTAGATCATTTGGAGAATTTTTGTAGTGCGAAGCAACATAGAGGGGGGAAATTTGTTATACTATGTTGCAAAACCTCGAAAAGATTTTCTTCCACCAAAAAGCGACCTTTAAAAAAATTCAACATACTATGGGTACTATACTGTAGCTTCACCAGGTATCAATGGCACCAAAAACTTGGCAGAGCTAATAAGCAGATATTGCAGCAGTCATACAATGAGGCATGGGGTCCTGGGGACTCATTTGATAATGAGACAGATCAAACTAGATGTGTCACATGATAATCAAAGGGAGAAAATTAGAAGTAACTATATCACACAACCTAAATCAGTGACATTAATTGAAATTCTAAAAAAAGCAGTATGAGATCCCAAGTCCAAGGAAAGATAATAAGTTCCTTGACTAAGTCAAAATCCCAGGGGATATGTCATCACACAACTTTTCTGACAACAAATATATGTTTTTGAATTCAAATGCATAGAGAAGCATTACCTCAATTCCACTCTGTAATCGATTTACTTGACTGATTATTGACAATAATCAGTCTTTACCATTACCTCAATTCCACCAACAAATATCGATTTACTTAAAGCATAGAGAAGCATAGAGAGAAAGAGAGAGAGAGAGAGAGAGGGAGAGAGGTACCGGAGAGCTCCCATGGGGGTTACTAGTCTGTGCTTTTTAGACAACTCGATTCGGACGGTTGTTTTTTTCTCCTGGTGGCAGCGAAACCAAATGAGTGGGCTGTTAGCTTCTGGAACAGTGACTGTTAGGACAGTAATTGCGTGCCTCAGAGACTCACAAGCCACATATTTCTGTTTAAATTTCTATTATATTTTCTGCTTTGATTCACTGAATCTGTATTATTGCATGATTATATGATTGTTTAGTTCTATTACTAATTTATAAACTGTTTTGTACTGTTTTAAAGTTCTGTTTATTTTGTGAGGATGTTTAGTTCGTAATGTAAACTATTGCTTTAACTACAATGTAATCTCACAGGGAGGATGATAAAAGTATAGAACTTTAAAAACACTCGAAAATATTCATTTATAACTTCATGAAGACTAAAATTGGAAGTACTGATGCTGTCAGCAATGAAAAATCAATTTAAAGATAATATATTGAAGTTTGTAAAGAAAATATGGTAATTATATATTTTTATCTTATGATATAACTTGATATACAAACAACCAAACCTGTCTCACTCCCAGGGCAGCTTGTAAAGGAGTCATCGTATCATATGGAACTGCATCTCAAAAAATAATCATCATCTCACAAGATTTTTTATCTTCCACAAATTGAGAAGTTAAATACTCAAAAGTGGTATTTGAGGCTTGGCGCAAATTGAGGAATCCTTAGCCGGTGACAAGCTCCCACAGAACAATAGCAAAACTGAATATGTCTGCTTTCTGATCGTATGGTTGATGAGTAATAACTTTTGATGGAGAAACAAAGTAAGAAATGATATCAAAGTAAGAAGTGAATAACTAGGAAATCAACATCAAAAATGGTTAACGTCACGCAATTCTATGACACAAGTCCAGAACCTAGTGTCAAACAAAGTGCACTTCATTAGTTTTCTCAAAAAATTCAACCCAGTATTGCACGCATCAACATTGTTAGATACAGAAGATTTAAAATGATACTACAGATTTGAGGTAAGTTAACTGATGTGCATGATTCATGGAATAAAAGAATTGCAATGTCAATACACTATGAAGCGCAAGACATGGAACAGGGTGATTTCAAAAAAATGGGAATAGGGACACGGCAAATTATTATTTTATATATATATTGCTATGTAGA